AAACGGTAGACTTTGCAAAACTACAAAGCGCGTCGATAAAATGATTAAAAGAAAGTAGATAGCAGATGCTAGAAAAACTACCATAGATACTTCTCGAGAACTACGAGAAGAAAATCTTGCTGATATTAGTTGAAGTACAATATCTCGATGTCTAAAGGAAGTAGGATTTTTAGGACGTGCTAGTGTAAAAAAAAAACCATTAATTAGTGCAAACAATAAGAAAGTTCGATTAGATTTTGCAAAGAAATTTGAACATTGGACTGAAGTTGATTAACGAAAAGTACTTTTCTCTGACGAGTCAAAGTTTCAGTTATTCTGAAGTGACGGTAAAAAGTATATACGACGTCCAATAGGCACAAGATATAACTCAAGATACTAAATTTCTACCGTAAACATGGTGGAGGTAACGTGATGGTTTGGGGATCATTTCCTTATAATGGAGTTGGTCCATTGGTCCATGTGAGATCACGGGTACTATGGACGCTATAATCTATCGAGATATATTGACACAGCATATGCTACCATATGCAATTTGAAACATGCCACGTAATTGGATTTTCCAACAAGATAACGATCCCAAACATTTATCAAAACTAATAAAAGAATTTTTCATCATGAAAAAAATGCGAGTTCTTGACTGGCCCTCGCAATAGCCGGACTTGAATCCTATTGAGCATTTGTGGCAAGAACTCACACTACGTATAGGAAATAAGAAATACTCCAATAAAGCTGAATTGTGACAAGATTTACAAACTCAATGGCAAAATTTACCTCAAGATCGCATTTCTAATTTAATAGCATCAATGCCTTCTTAAAAATCGCGTTTACATTGCGAATACATTCTTTAATCGTTTTATCGAAGGAAGAATTCTTTTTCTGCAAAAGGCTTCGTTTAGAGTATGAGACTATGAGAAAAATCATTTTACAAATAGAATACTTTCTTTTGGGTAAGTATATCGTTTCTCGTGGTCATTTCAACGGTAAAAGGATATTCTTGTCTGCATATTCTTGTATTAAAAATAGAAAGAGGTAAGACAAAAAACGACATTATATTCATGACTCTGTCTCAATCCGTAATGTATTATCATGAATATGTGCAAATAGAATAATTTATTCAATTTCGTGTAACGCGGCGAGTACAGGAGGAGCATGCGTAAATTTCGTATTGCGCCGCACATATCGACAACAATGTATATCGATCGTTCGTTCGTTCGCGCATACGCACATGCGCCTCCCAAGCGTTAACATGCCGAGCAAACAAATGAATAGCTTTCGGTCGCGGTATACAGGGTGATTCGAAACAATCAGATGTCCTTAGTATGCCATATTCTTGAGCAATTCTAAGACTATTTTTTCTCTTGCAAAATGTTATGCGATGCTTAATTACTGAGTTATTAAGATAAATAGCTTGTCTTTGTTAAATTTTGTTAAAATTTTGAAGTTCTAAAAATAATATGGATGAACGTTATTGCATGCGTCGATTAGCACATCGCACCAACGCGGCGTGCGCCCCAACGGTCAATTGTTCCGTCCCTGCCTGCCTTCTGTGCTCGGCTCGTAATAGACGAAATATTTCTCTTAATAACTCAGTAACTAAACATCGAATAAGATTTTGCAAGAGGAAAAGTAGTCTTACAATAGAATTTGCTCAAGAATACGGCATATTAAGAATAACTGATTGTTTCGAATCACCCTGTATGTATATATAACTGCTGTGTATGACGCAAAAGACGAATTCCTCTCTATTTTTATTTCACTTTTCGATCGAAACGCTAAACCGTCCATGCATGGTGAAACTCGCGCGTTATTTCACGTTATCGCGTTTCACGTATTCTCATTAGATTCTCTATTACGCCCGAAGTATGAGCGCTAAGGTCAGCTGCACCTGACTAAGGGGATCATTGTAACTATCCTCGCGCTCTCGAAAAGTAGCATGTGCGGACGGACTTCCGACCGCCTCCTCTCCTCTTATCTCGCCGAGCTTTTGTCGCCGATAGCCAATTTTAACGACGCGATCCCTCGACTGAGCCAAGCTGAGCCCAACCGACGGGCTGACTGAAAACTCCCGAAGTTTAAATCTGCAGGATTCTCAGAAATTTCAGTCCCGCGAGGAGACAACGAGATTTTATATTTATCATTTAAGTAAAAAGTGAACTACACAGTAGACAAAGTCACGGACCCCTGCGAGTTTCGCCTGCCTCCTGAGCGTGAGGTCGTTTAATGTCAAAAATTGCTAGGATTTCCAGCGAAATACAATTTCGCTGGTCGTGCGCGACGTTTCGTCGTGAATCTCGCGTGACGAAGTGTTCGCCCCGCGCTGTTTCTTTGAGCTCCTTTCTCAGCTCTTCAATAGGAAGAACGATAAATCTTTTATTCAATCATCGATGAAAAGGGAAAACTTTCTTGAAATTTCAACCGCGCGTCTCAACCGAGGCACACATAGAGTTTCCAATCCCGGATACAATTAAGGATCCCGGGATTTCGGGATTTTTTGGATTCCATCCCGGAATCCCGGGACTAGTCCCGGGATTATATATATGTAAAGAAAGAAACAAGGAATATTTACAAATAATAGAATTATTTTATTTATAGAACGTTCATAGACTTTAATGAACATTATGACAAACAAAAAATAAGGTTTCAGTAAAAATGAAAGCAACTTACATTAATGATTGCACAAAAACTGTTACAATTAAAAATTAAAGTGTTTGTAATAAAAATAAAAATAATTATTTCTTCTTTTTCACATTGAAAAAGCGACTTTAAAAATAATAAAACATAAATTTTGTTAAAAAATATCTGATCGAGAGTCCCGGATTCAAGTCTGTGTTGCGCCAGTTTATCCATGAAATTTAAAATAGAAAACTTCCTTAATATTTAAAACAAATAAAAATAATACATGGAATTAAATTTAAAATATAAATACACACTTCTCTAGCAAATGCTCTAAAACATCAGTAATAAGTAATAATTATTAAAGTAAAATTTTTGTAAATGTAAGTATTATATAGACACTAAGCATTAAATTTGGAAATCCCGAAATCCCGGGATTTGTGATGTTGAATCCCGAGTATTTTCGGGAACAAAAATTTGGCCGGGATCCCGGGATCCCGGGATCCAGGATCCCGGGATTGGAAACTCTAGGCACACATTTCCGAGATTGAAACTCGAGCATGATTGTAACGCAACGTTTAGAATCATGAACATTTCACGCTCGCCGTGTGTTTCCGACTGCCTCGTCGTCGTTTTCCGCAACGGATCTCACTGCTGCTTTCACGATAATTGATAAATAAATAAGAAGAAGGACGCTAATTGCCGATGCATTTTGTGTATTTGCTTATCTTCGGAATTGAACTGCGCGCTCATGTTAATTGTGAGGATCACTGCTAAACGCTCCGCGCTTTTTAAATATTGATTACTTATTTATTTGCGAAAATTGATTTCCTTCCTTTTATCTCTTCTCTCCCTCTTACTTTTTCTGGACAATATTTATATCGACGAGATTCAAATGTTACAAGACTGTTAGGAGATGCAGTGGATCATATATAAACGTTCATTGTGTCTCAATCAATTCAACGGCTTTTATTCTAGATATACGTGCACACACACACACATACACACACACACACACACACACATACACACACACACACACACACATTGTGATATACCATATGAGCACAAAGAGCCAGCTTCATTTAAAAATGCAACGTACACGCCGCGAATTCAGCTCACGTTAGACAAGTGTGAATTAAAAACTCCTCCTCGTGTGGAACATGTTTGTCTAGAAAAAGAGTGTGAGAGAGAGAGAGAGAGAGAGAGAGAGAGAGGAGGGTAGAGAGAGAGACGTTATCCTGTAATTTGCAGAAACAGATAAAGGGACACGTTACACGTACGAGGATAACCGTATTTGCCGCGGTTTAACAGAGTCTTATTTAACAGAGTTTAAGGGGGGAATTACATGCGGAGCAGACCGTTTTCAAAGCTATTGTTACGAATTTTTTTAACGAATTTTGTTTACAAATTTTTTTAACAGAAACGGTAGGTTGAATGAGGACTTGAAATTTTCGCAATGTATTCATTAATGTTCAAAATATAAAATAAAGAACAATGGGTAAAAAGGGCCAATTTTGGCCCATCGCGGGGAACGGACAAAACTTCATTTCCAAAGGATTTTGACCCGCTGAACACGATGCCGTCGTTAGTTTTCGGTTAAAACCCGGGGAACATATTCTAATCCGAGGATTTATCATCCAATAATCGAAAGGCCCGGGAAGCCTTTGCGTAAATTTTGTAGCTATTGCAAACTCGTGTTTCAGCTGAATTAGCTGAAAATAGTTTAGATTTTCGATTTAATAAAATTATTTTCGATTGAATAGTTGAAAGTGTCCTCTTTTTATGTAATTGTTATGTAAAATTAGTTGTTATGTAAAACTTAATGTAATATGATTTTTTTGTGAACGCGATATTTTAGGGAAAAATGTTTAAGACAAAAGTTGTTTAAATTAATTAGTAGAAAAAGACGGTATAATAAAAAATAGGGGTTTCCATTTAAGAAAAGTAATGATCGGTGAATATGTCGAAAGCGGTGCCATTTGTAAACAAATAGCTGTTCCTTTCTTCTCCTTTTCTTACGAAATTCATATTATGATTCACCTCGCGATTAGCACTAAGAAATTGCTTCAATGCTTTATTCGCCTAATTCACTCGGACAATCGCGGTTGATTAGCCCTGATTATCTCGTTGACGAGTATAAAGGTCCATTCTGCCGTAATTCGCAATGTACAACAATATATAATCCGTCATCGCGCACGTGACGTAAAGCCAGATTATACAGATCGTCCATATACCTCGCAGTTCACATATTTTCGCTGCAACCCGAGATTACTACCTCCAATTTGTATTCCCTTTTACGGTTCGCTCATTCTCCTCCTCTCGTAAGCTCGTTCACCATCGGCGCGTGCCATTTATCTCTACACCAGCAAAGAGACTTCTCAATTTCGAAGACGCTTCCCGTGACGCGGGCGCGTGGAATTCGCAATTTCAGCGGCGTTATGACAAAAAGTGTAAATATCGACGTTAATGTCAACGTGCGTTAAAGACTACATACCGCGCGACGAGCATGATTATGACGGAACACGTTCCAAAGGATAATTAGACTGTGCGTGCCCCGAAATGAAATTGGCCTTAATGAATAGCGTGTTCTTATCAAGTACGCGAGAAGGGTTGACGTGAATGGCATTACGTAAAAGCCGCTTTTTAGCAAAACGGCAAACGCTTCATTGCGTTATCGCGGCTTTCGATAACGCGATTATAAAAGAATTTCGTCATTATAGAACCGCGAAAGCGCGCGGAGAACGTTGGAAAAATTCGGCGTAGACACCATAATGTATCTCTGAATTTTACAGTGATTGGTGAAAGGGAAGAACAACAGAGGTATTCGTCATTCGCTGATCGTTTATCGCGAGACAGCTGGAAATCGCGGCGGACGGCAAATCAATTCTTCAAGCGCAAATCGCAAGCGCACAAACTCTTCCTCATTCAAGATTCAAGATGGGCGAAATATCAGCGATGTTTAAAGGGGATAGTCCATGTAATTGGTCCAAAAAATCGATCTCTTTCTCTATAAATCAATAGTAAAACATCTCGAAAATATATTCTCAAAGTTATAAAGTGAAATTCGAAGTCTTACGGATGCTAGTGAACGTTATGGGTGTCAATGCCGCCAACCGGTATAATCGGAGCGCATGACGAGCCTATCCTTCTTTAACCTCCCTGTACCATATGATGCAGAGCAGATGTTTGTGAAATATTATACTTATACAATATTTGATTTATTTTACTTCGCACGGTCAGTCGCGCTTCGAATTTCAGGCCATGCGGAACAGTTCTAATCGGTAAAATGTCGTCGTATCTGAAAGGAACTAAGCAGCAACGCAGCCAGATATCTATACTGGCAAAAAGATACTTTCATGATGATCAATTTAGTGATAAAAAAAGGTGAAAATATAAAACGAAGTGCGAGTGCAAGAAAACTAGATCTGTGCAAGTGTGTGCAAGCAGTGAGAATATTAAATAACTGGAGTCCAATGCACTGTTACAAGATTATCGAATTTTGTACTGTTTTTACTATCATCTATTTATCTATCTATACTTCTACTACTATTATCTATCTACTATCTATATTATCAAACTATTTTATTTGCCGTGAGTATAAACAAAACGTGATATTTGAGCAAACAAGAAATCGTGGTCTCGGTTTCAAACCTATATTTGCATGCCATTGCGGTCGCCGAGATATCAATTCAGGACATAAATTTTTATCGGCAATGGATTTGAAATTAATCGCTGGAATGTGTTTATCATGCGATTTTTAAGCATCAGCAGAGAGGGGATAAATATTTTCTGCAGATTTATATAAAACCTACGCCAAAAATTACGACAAATACCGACTGTAAAGGCAGAAACGCCGTAGCTTGAGTAGCACCAGAGAAGCTCGGCTGGCTGGAAAACAACAACTTTTAGAGCAAAATGAATTGTACGAAGAAGAGGAAAAATTATTATACGACCCTGCAATTGCAGATTAATAGCCGTAAGTTACTAAAAACTTAAACTTTTTGTTTCTTAAACCTTTAAATGCGTTTTTCTCGAAAGTAGTTTTTTTTTTTCAAATTGGCCCGCACGATAACTCAAAAACTACTTAACCAATCCGGTCTTTTGCAGACATCTAAATAAAAGCATTCTTTTCTATATAAACCTATTTTGACTAAATAATTACATTAGACAATTCTTTTTCTTGAAAGAAGACAACAATTTTCTGTAAAATTGGAAAATTTTAGTTTAAAGTCATGCCATTTTTCTTTTATTTAACTTTTCTCTTTACTTTTAGGTTCATCGACAGCGCGAATTCATACAGAGTTAGGAACCATTTGGTTTTTTGGTTTCAGATACAGCAGACGCCAGAGTGCGGACCATTTGAAATCACTGGTATCAACAATTGCCTTTAAAATTCATTATATTGACATTATTCTTTTATGCAAATAATATTTTTCACTTGTTTAAAGTACCAATTAAGTCTTCTCAAAGTTTCAAAAGTATCTGCTTAATACTTTTCTAGCAATAAATTCATAAAATACTGCTTTTTTCTCATCGAATTGTATGGATTATCTCCTTTAAGCGACATTAATGTCGGCCGCCGCGCGGCGTATTCCGCGAGATGGACTGCGAAGTCGCGTGCTAAATTGTCCCGCCCGGTAACGTCGCGAATGCAAAAACGTAATACCTGTTTGCCGCATGCAACGTGCTTTTCAGATATTTCAACAATGGCGTATACCGGTTCGCTTTTTCAAACGATATTACTTTTTGCGTGAGAGATATACGCGAGTTGATGCGCGAGTTACAGCTGTCGCGGAGGAGCCCTTAGAGTGGCAATAGGATAAATCCGAAATAGATGGGCATAAGGGATAAATAGTCAATTGCTATAATTTTTGTAATATATGCTAGGCGTCAGCGCTGATCGGTCAGTTGTAAGTTGGATGTACCACCACGAGTAAGTATGTTTCATCCTGATGCCCAGAAACACTACTATTGTGAGTAAATAAATGTTTTATATTTCTAGTAATTTCCAAAATGTTTCACACGTCGGAAAAATATCTTGCGAATACGGTTTATTTTGAGTTACAATATTAGACCTGAGCTTAAACGACTAAAAAAACATCGTATTTTCATATTTAGTCTCGAAATTCGTCACCGAGACGATGTTTTACACGGTATACACATTTTTACGCGAACTCTCCAAACGGGGATAGATGGTCTATTTTTTTCAGAGTTAGATGGGCAGCCTACTTAGCGAGACTTAGCAAGCAATGGACATCGGATCGACATTTTCTAGATATATATATATATATGTTACGGTTAAACTGATAAATCCAGTTACTATGCATAACCAACAGCTTTGGTTAATTTGATTTGAAATTATTCATATTTTTGTAAAATTTATCACATTAACCGGTGATTATGAATAATAACCAACATGTTCTGGTTAAAGCGATAAATTTCATGTTTCTACAAGTTTGAATTTGTCTCAGTCGTTACATAAGCATTATTCGTCTGTCTCGAGGCGAATCAATACCGATGACTATATTTACCGTTTGTATACGTGCATGTTGTCAAGGAGATTAATCTGAGTAATTATCTCCAAAAATTATTCTGCCAAACGACGTTAATTTAGAAAATATAGCAAATAAAAGCTTCATACGTGAGATACTGTCCATCATAAGCGTGCAAACTGCACGCGCGGTTATTAAAACCCACACGTAAGTTAAAAGCGTAAGTAAGCTGCACCCACGGTTATTAAAACCCACGCGTAAGTTGCAAATGCGTTTTGCATCGCGCGCTATGCGCACTCAATTACGCATGAGTTTTAATAACCGCGCGTGCAGCTTACGCACTTTTAACTTACGCGTAGATTTCAACAATCGTGCGCGCAGCGCGCGATGCAAAGCGCACTTGCAACTTACACGTAGGTTTAATTGTTCATAACTTTGTAACATTTTGATATCGTTTGGAGTATTTCTGCCAATATTCATGACAATTGGACATAAATGGTTTCCAAAAGTTTCTCCAAAATCATTTTCTGAATATCATTTTCACTTTAACCAATAAAGTTTAGTTATGTAAAATAACCGGTTCAAGTGATAAATTGCATGTATTTTATCACATTAACCAAAGCTGTTGATTATTATGCATAATAACCAATTTATCACTTTAACCGTAGCATATATATCTATTCGACTGTAATTTTTCCTAGTACCTAACATGAAATGTTAAACTTGTCAATACCGATCGGTCAATCGGAGTTGGATGTACCACGAATAGGTGTTTCTTCCTGATACACGAAAACACTGTTATTATGAGTTAAAAAATAAATGTTTTATGTTTTTATTAACCTCCAAAATGTTTCACACGTCGGAATAATACGAGGGTAGTTCGGAAAGTTCTCGGCCTGACAAAGAAAACATATGATTTTTGACAAAATGTTGTTTTATTTTTCTACATAGTCCCATTTCAACTCAATACACTTAAACCACCGATATTTTAACTTTTTTCTACTTTCAGTATAATACGATTTCTCTAACCCTTCAAAATAAGCGTTTGTCTCAGTAATGACCTCCATATTTGAAGTAAATTTCTTTCCAGCGAGCCATTTCTTCATGTTCGGAAACAGGTAAAAGTCACTGGGGACAAAATCTGGTGAGTACGGTGCGTGTGAATCCATGTTTCATCAACAGTGATGAATCGTCGCAGAAATTCGGTTGAATCGCGTTTAAACATGTCCAAGCACTCCTGAGAAATATTCATGCGTTTTTGATTGACCGTTAGCAAATGTGGCACCCATCGCGCTGAAAGCTTTCTCATGTGCAAATGTTCGTATAAGATGTTGTTAACACGATCTATCAAGATCTTTGCAATGTCAGCAAGCTCATGCATTTTTACTCGTCGGTCATTTAACACGGTATTGTGGATTTTTGTGATGTCATAGCGATTTTTCCTTAGTCATAGCGGTTTTTGGTCGACCTGAACGTTCAGCGTCATAAATGGATGAAAGACCATGTTTGAATTCAGCAGCCCATTTCTTAACTGTTGAAAACGATGATGAAGAGTCTCCCAAAGTGGAGACCTCCAGCTCGTCTTTTATTTCCGTTGGCGTTAAACCTTTCAAAACGAAGTACTTTATCACTGTGCGATACTCGACTTTATCTATTTTTCGAGAAACGCAAAAAATCTTGCTTGCTTTCCTCGATCACAACAAGCAAACGACTGAAGGCATCTGTCTGTAACGTTACGGTAGGATTAAACTTGAGAAAATCCTCTGGAGGATTAAATTTGAGAAAAATCATAGCCAGTTGATATTCCTGGCGCTATCTCTGTGCCAGGCCGAGAACTTTTCGAATTACCTCGTACCTTACAAATACGGTTTATTTTGAGTTACAACATTAGACCTGGACTCAAGCGACTAAAAAACATTATATTTAACCTAAAAATTTATTACCAAGATGACGTATGTCTAACTATCCTTTGATATATGACCATCCAACCTGGACACCTGACCATCTATCCCTCACAGAATATTTTTAATATTTCGTTATTATTGGCGCCCCATGAATTTTTTTTCACAGAAACTCTTCTGTATCTTAAACATTATCTTCTACTGAATGTGTTAATATATTGCTGACCATTTATTACATTAAAGCAGATGAGTTATTTGCAATTAAAAAAACTATGTTCATCTATCCCAGACTTACTCTAATTAGGCAAAAGCCGAAAATTCCTGTCAGGACGTTGCACGACTGTCGGGGAAGACGTAACTGGGCCTCGCGTGTGCGAACTTACATTACGATTTTATTTCCCACCGAGCAGAGGAAAGATGGAAGAAGACGAACATGAATGAGAGACGAGGAGAGGACAGAATTACGTCGCGATAAAACAGCTCAGCGCGACAGTATTAAAAATTCTTTTAAAAATCTTCCAAGATTTTTCCTCTCTTTGATCCTGATGAAAGTCCTCGCGATATTCTCTATCTCCCTCGCTTTCTGTCTCTCTTCTTCCTTCTTTATGCTGTTCCATGCCTCTCGATATTTGTTTGATTCGTCATCAGTATTGATCGACTATTGCTAGTCAATCTCTTCCCTTTGGACGGAATAATATGAATGAAACATTACTCACCTTCAGATTTAAGAGATTCACGCTCATCATGTGATTGATCCATATTATACTCGAAATGCAGAGCCGTTCTCTTCGCAAGATTTGTGTGCTGTTACTGTAATGGAAAAAAAGAAAAATAAGAACTTTCGAATGAAAAGCGCATGGCGACGAGAAGAATCAACGTCGAAAATATACCGTCGACCTTATTGATTTTCCAGTGCTATGAGCTTCAGTATAATATCTACGATATTTTCTTTCTTATTTAAATATATTTGCATATATTGTATATTTGGGCGAAATTACTCGGTTCTGAATACGATTCAATGTGGGGGCATTCAACAATGATAGACAAATTACCATTAATATATGCGATAAATAAAAGTTCTTAGCTCATATGTTATACCGTCGCGTCACTTTCACAATGAAATCTATTAATAAGGAGCACGGAAAAGAATGGTTTGGTTGGTTGAGCAAATCTATAGCTTGTCGAAAAAAATTAAACGTCGTAAATAAGCAGATTTGCTACTGCAGGAAAGAAGATGTGTACGAAAACAATCGTCAATTTATTCATAGAGTAAGCCCACTTTTGTTGAAAAGTATCTTTGTAGTTACTGTAACAAGTTACTTTTACTACGCTACATGCGGTTTGTAACTAGTGTCATTTGTTACTTTTACTACAGTTATAGCTCTTGCAGCTAGCGTGACAAGTGACACGATATTCAACATGTGATAGCCAAATGAAGGTCATCTGTCACGTGTCGCATGCGCGTCGTGCAACGAAGATTTTTGGGTGGTGTTCGCGCGCACTGAGAGTCAAATGTTTTGGCAATCGCGTCGAGACGCAAGTATATGCACGATAGAAAAGAAATGAGGTTAAACGAGTGAAATGAATGCCAATATTAATATATTGTGCCCTGAGTTGTATCTGAATTATGTCTGAATTGTGTCGCGTAAATTATTAATTAATACAACTTCGAAAGTTGGTGTTGGAGTGATATTCTTCCTACGCCTTGAGCCATGAGAGAGAGAGAGAGAGAGAGAGAGAGAGAGAGAGAGAGAGAGAGAGAGAGAGAGAGAGAGAGAGAATGAATGGATGAAAGAATGAAGGAACGAAGGAATGAAGGAATGAAGGAATGAATGAATGGATGGAAACGGGTCTGTGATCTGTCTGTATTTACGTTTCCGATAAATGTGTTTGTTTATGTTTCTTTTGGTTAACATCAAGTATATATTCTAAGGTCTTTTTTGTTTTTGTTGTATCGCGAACGCAACTTTGTGTCAATGGAGTTCAATCATGAATAAAATTACTAAATGTTTAAATGCTTATAACTTTTGATAGAAGCATTTTCGAAACAAATACTTCAAATAAAATTTACTTGTTTTATCCCGTAGAATCCAAATATGCAACATTTTATAGCGGGTTCCATTTAAAATTATAAAGTTACTCCCGTCGCCCCTTAAAGGAGAAGCGGAGGTGACTTTACGTTTATGTAGTTAGGGAGACCTCTCGAATACATGAAACTTCCTTATGAATAATTTTTTGATTTGATAAATATTTTTAAAGTTGTAGACTTGTAACACTTTACGTGGGCCACCCTGTATATATAATAGATATATTTATATTATATTAGTGGCAGTGTACTTTAATAATATATTGTAGAATAAATATTCTAAACATTTGAATGAGTTTTAATAGGTAATATGACAAATCTTATGCAGCTCTACATACTTTACTACTGCAACATAGCAAATGAGCTATCTATATATTACGGCTGTAAATTTGCTACACTAGCAAAGATTTCTGTTGTCATAGCAAATCTTTTGTTTCCGTGAGATCAATTATATTTAGTTGTATAATTAACGAGACATTTCGTTTCGCACATTTATCGCGTCAAACCGCAATCACAAGTTCGTTATTACACGTTGTTGAAAAGTAGAAAAGTTTTAAAAGTTTTAAAAGTTGATGAAAGTTTGATGTCAATGATATATATAGAATACCTTATTAGACCGGTAAAATTGCGCCTCTTGTTATCGACAGAAAGGAACTTTGCGTAAAGAACAAATAATCGGATATGAGGGAAAAGGGAGAAGTTGGAAAGTGAACTGCCAGATTTCAACGAAAAGAACTCACCGGCGACTTCGTGTCACTCTGACGTGACGTGTACTCGTCGAAGAAAGAGACAAAACGGAGAGAAACATTTCCGTACGAGAAAATACATAGTCATCCGATAAATCACTCTCTCGCTTATTGTCGAAACTCTCTCGTTCAAAAGTCCTTTCACCTCGGCGAGACAACAAACTAATTTAAAATTTCCCGATAAGAAGGATGCTTTGCAAAAACTGCGCCGGCAGCGTCGTCACAATGCCGAGAATCGGAGAAGTTGACATTTCCACCGGTGAGGAAGTGGAAGGAGCAGAAGGAAGCGGGAAGAGCAGCGGGAAGAAAAGGATAGGAGGAGAGAAGAGAAGAGGAGAAGATTATACCTATCCCGCAGATCCAATTTGATAGTTCATAAATAAAATAAAATGCAAGCCGAACTTAGAACTGCTCCCACGAAACGTCGCCTGATTAAACTTACTTGGGGAAGAAAAAGAAAACTTTGAGTTCGTATCCTCTCACTTCCTTGCTCCTTTCAATATTTACTCCGCCGCGCCGTTTCCCGCTCTTAATTAGCCGGTGAGATTCGATGTCAATATCCAGGATGCGCGCGAGTAAGCAGTTAATGAGTGCGTTCACGACACAACTATTAAATAATTCGTAAATGTTATTGGTCTGAAGGATCTATCACTAAAAATCGATAATCCCTAATCGTTCACTCGATTTCATTCACTGACCGCAATGAATCAATGAGTTATTATGTTCCCGTTTGTTTCCCGCGACGTTTCAGAACGATTGTTTCGTGACGTTTCGTGAAATGATCGGAAAAACCATTGACCTTTATATATATTGGAGCGCAGCATCAAGGAGTAGGGATAGCTCACCTGTCCTTGTACGGAAGGACATGCGTATGCTGGATTGATCGCCATTTCTGTCGGTGACTCTCTGTGATTGGTTAATACTTCGGATGTTATTTCGTAATAAGTTTAAAACATTGGTCTGTCGGATATTGTATACACAGGGTGTTTGAGACTACACCTCTTCATTCAAATAGAGTAAAAAAGTCTGGTATTATTTTTTCTTCCGACAAGTAGCGAAATATCATGAGATAAATATTTTCCTTTTTCTTTTTCTTAAATTTTTTTTAAAGTTTTTCTTAAATATCTCAAAAAATATTAGGTAAATAAAAAAATGTTTCAGACAAAAGTTGTTAACCCTTTCATTACGAGCGTCAGATATGTACGGTATCCACGCAACGACTTGTGTATATACGAGCGCCGTCTATTGGGTATACAGGAGGGTATCTCAAAAGTAACGGACCACCCTCATAACTCTTCAGTATTGAAGTTTCAAGGAAAATGATTTCAACAAAAGTTGTAGGGATTTAAGTGAGCTATCTTATGATGACATTGACTTTGACCTCGACCTCTATTTTCAAGGTCATTTGGAGGTCAACTTGCGTTTTTTAAATGGGAATCTCTATTTTTTATTACACTGTTTTTTTTTCTAGTTAATTTGAACAACTTTTGTCTGAAACATTTTTTTATTTGTTTAATATTTTTTGAGATATTTGAGGAAATCTTAATAACTTTTTCAATATTTAACTTATGATATTTCGCTAACTATTCGTCGGAAAAAAAAGTGGTACTAGACTTTCTTACTTTATTTAGTCTCAAGAATATATTATTACAATAGCGCCCTGACTTTTGTTAACTTACTGACTTTTGGAAATTTAAAAATCATCAAATTAACAAAAATCAGGGCGCTATTCATCAGGGCGCAGTATATAAAACCCCCTGTATATAAAAGCACGTCAAAACGGCGCGGCGTTGTTCAAACGTAAAATATAAACCCGAACGCCGGAGACTGCACCACACGCAATGTGCACACTTTTGGCGTGTGGTCCCGTTCAGTGGTGGCACTCCGGCGGGACAGACTACTGTAGCGAAAGGGTTAAAATTAATTGGTAGAAAAATATGATATAAAAAAGAAATTGGGATTTCTATTTAAGAAAAGTAATGATCAGTGAATATCTCGAAAGTAGCACCATCTGTAAATAAAATGATATAGTTGTTATATGTCCCCTTTGACACCATTCAACTTTTGTCGAAAACATTTTTCTCCAAAATATTTAGTTTTTGAAAGAAAAGGGCTGTACGGATGGTCTCAGACTTGTATAAAACTGTAAATTTTTGATACTACGTCAAATGGTAGTAAATATAGTATGTTTATATTCTACACTTTAGTGCAGGAAAGGCTCACTCCAGTATGTACTATAGAGCTCAATGGGAATAACCGAGTGTACTTCTGATGAAACTAGCTGGCTACGGGAATGAGCTCTGACTAATGGGGTAATGATAACGAGTTACTTTTCAAAAATAACTTCTCAACCTTGCAAAGAAGTAGCTTGCAACGGTAACGGCGTTGCACGTGACGCGCTGCCTTCCGACCCTATCGCCCTTATCAGTTTACCTATCACGGAAAAAAAAGATTTGCTATGACAACAGAAATCCTTGCTACTGTAGCAAATCTATAGCCGTAATATATGGCTAGCTCATTTGCTATGTTGCAGTAGCAAAGTATGTAGAGCTGCATAAGATTTGTCATATTACCTATTAAAACTCATTCAAATGTTTAGAATATTTATTCTGCAATATATTATTAAAGTACACTGCCACTGATATAATATAAATATATCTATTATATATGCAGGGTGGCCTACGTAAAGTGTTACAAGTCCATAACTTTAAAAATATTTACCAAATAAAAAAATTGTTCATAAGGAAATTTCATGTATTCGAGAGGCCTCTTTAATTACATAAATGTAAAGTTGCCTTCGCTTCTCCTTTAAGTGGGGAGCCTACTTTACAAAGTCAAAATTTTCGATTTTTTTTGCATAAGCCGATAGTAGTATTCGTTCATAATATATTCCTAAAGTTATGGAGCGAAATTCAAAGTGGTTCGGTAGATGCAGCTCATGTAACAAAACGCGTCACGCAAATAATGGCTTCTACACA